CCTTCTCATTTGATCCCTTTTGGAGCAGCTGGTAGTGGTAGCTGGGCACCATCTAATACATCTGGTCTCAGAGTTTTGGAGACTGATGTTCACATGGTCTATTAGTCCCGTGGATGAAAGGATTCCAAGCATACAAGGTGTATTTTTTGTTATCAAGTATTGTATCATGAAATTCTTTCATTTTATATCTATAAATTAATCTTCTTTTGCAAAACACAGGAGGAAGATAGATGCCTTCTTAACAGATCTATGACTCTACATTAAAGAAGGGTGTAGAAACATCATATTTGATTAGGAAAATTGTAGACTCTATCTGATAAATAATAAACCAGATAATTCGACATATGAAATATTGTGTGCTGATCTGTTTGATCATCAAACTCTTAGCAAAGATTACTTATAAAAAAAGATTATCATTTATTTCCTTTGTGACCCAAACCCTGGCAGTTACTTCAAAGATGAGATTCAAAGTCTATGTGACAATATGTAAGGGGTTTGGAAGGTGGTGGAGTTCAGCCCCCATCCTCCACTGTTCCCTACATTTTTTTGTGTGTGTGTGTGTGTGTGTGTATTAATCTGGGTTTGTTTGTTTTTTTAAAGTTTTTATTCTGAATTGAATGATAGTTTATATGGGAGAACATCAGCTTTACATTCATCCTGCTGTATTTCGTTTCATTGCAATAATTATAATCCCCTTCATGCATCATCAAAAAACCACAGTGTACACCCTGCAAGCCCGCCCCCACCCCCCCAGCTGTCAGCACACAACCCTTCTCCCTCCCTGAGTCCAGAGTCCCCAGCCGCTCCTTCTGTCCACATCATTGCATCTGCCTCCGCCCCTAGTGTCACTGCCTCTCCAGACACGGTCTTGCACTTTGCTTTTCTCCCTTGATAGTTCCAGGTATCTTCACTCCTCAACTGCAAAATCAGCCACTCCCCTCCTTTTGTTACCAAACATTAACATTTACATTTACCTTTCCAACACTCACTGTCAGACCTGATATCAATCATTCCCTATTGAACCACAGTTCTTTCCCCTCACCTTTTTTCAACCCCATCCAGACAGGGTGGAAACAATGCAGTGGAGGTTCTACCTTTCCCTGTATCCTCTGGAGCTAGGTTCACTATTGAAAGCTTGTAATCCAGTCACTTCTTGCCTTTGTAGTTCCCCCAGATTGGGTAGCCAATGTCTAAGTTCCCCTTCCCTGTCGACCCTGTGTACCAAGGGTGTGGGAATGATCCTCACTGTAGAGATTTGTCCGCTCCTTTGTCATACTGCATCCACAAGCATAGGTCAAGATCATCCACTTACAGTGGGTTGCTTCTTTTTTTTTTTTTCCTCTTCCCTCGTCTTTCTTCCTCTAGTCATGTTCTGATCCTCCAGCCATTGATGCCAGGTCAAATGGGCACTATCTGCAAGTGTGGGTGTTCTTGTGCATCTCCACTCACTTTATATCAGCTAGATGCTTCACACTCTGTTCTAGTCCTCTGGCGCCATGTCCCTGCCCCTGGGCACAGGAGTCCCCAGGTCTTATCATACTGCTGGTTAACCAGGTTAATCCAGGTTAACAGGAGTCTATTGGATGTGGTCGGATTTAGTTCACAACTTCATTGCTATTTATCCCCCTCTTCCCCTTATTGGTGACCAACATGGTCAGCTGCAGAACCATATGCCTGCTAGTATGTTCCAT